CAGCAAAGTCCACAGGTGACATTGACCAGGAGGCAGAAACACAATCATTATTTGAACCAGGCTGGCTAGTCCCTGAAATTTCGTTACTTCTTTTTAATTTTTCCCTTAGTTAATTCTACCTAGAAGATTACCTTCCTTCCTTCTTTATTCCACCTGCCATTCTGCAAACTATATCCTTAACTTTCTTTGCCAAAGGCTAATTCTGCTCAAAAGCTGGTCCTCAGAATTAACACCTGTGTGCTTCTTGCTGGAAGGCATGTAATTTGGCCTGAAGAAGCCTGAATACATTGTCACCAAGGGCTGCCTGAGCATCAACTCCACAGCTGTTTGTTGTCTCCAATCTTGATTGTCAAGCTAAATTCTGCTTCATCTTGTCTCTGCCACCTGCCATCCAAGAGGCTATGTTTCAAAGTGCACGAGACAGCCCGTTCTAGGGTGCAGGTGAGCACAGAATTTTTTGACTGGACTTTAGAGGAAGCACTGAGCTGTCAGCTGTAGGCTAGCACTCCAGTGGGTGGCAAGGGTACATGCTTAGGCAGGGACAAGCTATCAAAGCTTAGGTAGGGCTGTTAGCTGCCAGCTGGCAGGAGACTAGGGGGCCCAGACTGTCAGTTTGGGACAGCCGTTGGTAAAGGCGAAACCTCAGAGTGCCTCAGGCCATTGTCAATTTGAGGAATGGCCCCAGCAGGGGGCTAGATAGGAACTCTTCTAAGTGCCACCTATTAGCACTTGGGGAAGGTCTTGGTCGCTGTGGCCAGCAGGTGATGATCTGCTCCAATGCACATCAGCAGATCTTTAGTTGCTCATGAGCCTAAAAGGTTGGCGATAGCTACCAGATATTCCCTTTGTAAAGACATGGTTGTTGCGGTCAATTTGGAGTGACTGTGCACCCTGTTTCAGCTTCCTAATGTTTCAGAGGGGAATATAAGACACTTATAGATATCTTCTGACAGTTTCACCTTCTGTCTTTGTGACTCTACCTACGACAGGAAAAAAAACAGTTCCAGACAATCCTCCTCACCTTTTTGGCTTGTGGCCCAAGGCAGAAGAGAACAGCCAGTCCCCTTTTGGGCCCAGTGGTTTGTCCCAAATGGTGTGAAAGGATGCTTCTTCCCATCACTCATATCACACTATTTCTCCCTATCTTTAATAATAATTGCCTCTTACTTTTTTGATCACTTCCAAAATCCTAGTCCTGTGTTGAAAATTCCTTCAACCTTCTCTCTCAGTGACTGGCCACCCTATCTAAAATTTTACACACATACACACAGACTCCAAATCCTCCTTTTTGCTTTATGTTTTCTCCTTAAAGCTTAACGCAAAATAAATTTTATATTTATTTGTTTACTGTCTGACTACCCTATTAGAACAGAATACCACTGCTGCTCTCCCTTGCAGAGGCAGCCCTGCATGGCTGCTCAGACTGGTGTCTGAGAACTTTCAGTGCATGACGACATACCATGAGGGCAGGAATTTTTGTCTCTTTTGTTCACTGCTGTATCCCCAGCACCTAGAACTGTGCCCAGCACAAAATAAATTACTTGTTGAATGAATGAATGAATGAATGAATGAATAAACGAACAAGCCAGGGGTTCCTGGACTGTTTCATATTCTGCAACTCAATCCTGCATTCTCTATTCATACCACAGAAACTTCAAAGGTCTCACTCATTCCTGACAGCAAACTGTCCCCAACGTCAACTCCAGAAAACTTGAAAGGCCATCTCCCATTCAGACAATCTATCCTCTCACCCCCAAGTTGTCTGTTTAAATCTGGCTCTACTTCTTATCAAGTCTGTCCTGCTATGGCTCATATCTGTCCCACCACCTCCATTGCCACTGTCGTCACCCTGGTTAAGGCCTGCCATTTACCCTGCCTAATCTCCCATCTCATACCCTTCCAACCAACACTCCCTAGAATTGAAAAAGTAAGCCCTCTAAACTTGCAAATTAGATCACCTAAGCCTCGTGCCTAAAGCCTACCAGTGGCTCCCCATTACCTACAGGATCAAATACAAACTCCTTCCCATGTGACCCACAGCCTTCCTTGTCCTCATGAAGTACTATACTTAAGGCCCACCAAGAAAAACAACCCCAAGCTTTTGCTCGTGTTCCTCCCACTGCACTGAATGTTCTTTTATCTACCTGGAGAGCCACCGCCCGGTCTCAAGATCCACCTCAGTATGTGCACCTCCAAGCAGCGTTCCTGACTCTCTGCACACGCTATCACCTTTAGAACTGTAAGCTCACCGAGGTCAGGAACTGTCGGGACTCCATCTACTCATCCACAGCATGGGGCGCATCGTAGGAGCACGATGAAGACTTTTGAGAAGCGAGTGAATGTGCAGAAATAATGAAAGTCCACCCTTCCACAAACCTTTTCAGATAAATTACAGAGCAGTAGCTACTTTTCACACTGCCAGGCTAGTTCTGGAGTGACCAGTCTACTGATACTCATTTCTACAGAGTCCTCTACTGGGTATTTTTAACCCCGTTGTCAGAAAAGGGGATGACAGGTAAAGGCTAATGCCCAACATTGTAGAGAGAAAAATATCTCCACAAACCCTAAGACAGGCTAAAAGAAATTTATTTTTTATTTACTTATCTTTTTAAAAAAGGAGAGAGCACAAACGCAGTCCCCCACTACCACAAATTATGCAGTTGAGTTTCCCACATTTGGGGAAATCACAGGGGTCAGCACACCTGGGGCGCAATGGATAAGCATCACCCTGGGAAAACCGCCTTCATGATCATGGTATCCCCAGTGCCAGATAAGTATGGAAATTTTAAATATATAACCTTAACCTCATGTATAAAAAGGGTTTTCTACAAACTGTGCTACCTTCCCAATTTAGCAGATTTGTACAATGACAGAAGAACAGAACTGGGCAGCTTCAAAAAGAGGCAGGAAGTTGTGTAGACATCCTATATTACTGGAGTCCTGTCCACAAAGGTTTTCAAAATCAGCTGAATAAAGCAAAAATCATGGTCTCAGGGAAACAGTTAAATGAGGGAATACCATATAAAAATATAACCATTTTAGCTAACCCTTCCATCTTTCTCTACCTCCCATCCAGTAATAAAACTTTTCCCTTAAATATACAACTACACCAATTTAAAGAAAAAGCTAACTTACCAAATTTACACTACTTGAAGTTTAAAAAAATCAATAAACCCATTCTAGCATACTTTGTCAGTGTCTTTGAGACCCTTGGCTTGAACTGAAATTCAAAATAAAATTACGCATAAATTTAAAAAAATGGGTATTGCCAAAGAGTCAAAGACTTGGCGACTTCCAGACCTACTTTATGATTACATCTGTTTTTATTTTTGATATTCAAGAAATACACTGTTCAAACTACCACTTACAAAACTGCTATTCTTGTCATAATGTCATACAGCACAGCTCCATTCTCTGGAATCTGTCCCACAACCCCTGAGGACAGAGCCTACAACACTCAGATCTTAAAGATGCCAAAGCGTCAAGCAGGGATTACATCCCCCCCACACTCCACTGGCATCTTTAGACTCTGAGGACTCTGAGAGCAAGAGTCACCCTCCTAAAGGGAAAGACAATCGCCACAGCAGAATCTCTCAAGTGAACTGCAAAGTGTAGTTTCTGACCTCCTCAATGTAACATTTACAGCTCTCTAGACAGAGGGAAGTATCAGGTGAAAATAGTTTTCTACTACACCCATAAATTCTTCAACTCCTAGCAAAATTAATAAAGAAAAGTCAGGAGAAGGATAAAGTGCTCTCACCGAATAACAAGCAAATGACACGGGGAACTCCAATCACAAGGAGAGAAATGAAGTATCAGCTGAGCATACAGGATGACGTCAAGCCTGACAACCTATTCAGGCCCCCACACTCAACCACTTACTGTCTCTGATTTACAGTATTACTTCTCTCATCTCTGACTTAAGCTGTTCCTTCCCCTGACAAACTCTTTTTCCTGGAGCTTTTTACTGTGTAATCATGCAACGTGTGGGCACGACAAAACACAATAAGCTTTACAAATTTTGGCTTTTAAGAATCAATATTATTTTCTCTACATACTTCCAAAATAGATGTCCCCCCTCCAACCCAGAAGATTTTAGTAAAACATAAGGAATGTTTTTAAAAAGGGGGTAGGATGGGTGTTAGGTATTTAGAATCCTTACTTTGGGTCCCACTTGCTTACACATCACTTTCCAGGCCTCAAAAATTTTTGTCCTACGTGAAAATAAGAAAAACCAAAGACGCCCAGTGAAAATATCAAGAACAGCAGTAAGAGCTTAAGACCAAGATAAGAAACAAGATACAAATCCAAAGGGTTGGGAATAGGGGGTCTAAACACTGCTCTGGATGTATTTCAGGTGTATTTCTAAAACGCTGCGGTCTGTATGATAAGACAAATATCACGATCAAAATGAAAGTTGAAAGCTGAAAATCCATTTTAAAAAAAGAGACCTAGGCAAAGGCAGTGTGTACTTGGGAGTATACAATTCCATCTAATTCTCAAGAGTCCTGCAGGGCTAAGCCAACTTCCTTATTCCAGCAAAGTGAGGCCTCAAGGCGAGAAAGGTTTTATTCTTCACAGTTCTGGAAAAAGGCATAGAGAAATGTTTTGATGGGATTTAGGGGCAACCAAGGACAATCTGTTAAAGTACTTCAAAGTTCTGCCTGCTAAGAGGCTCTGACCCCCCATACATTCATCGGACCTGCCCCCAGAATTTCAGAAACAGTAACAGCTGACTGGCAGGACACGCCATTTCCAAGGTTCTCCTTCCTCCTAAAGGTCTCATCTAGGTCAGCATTGTCACAGTGTGAACAGATCTGTGATACCTGACTCACCAGAGGAAAAGTCTCACCAGCCCTGAGATGCCCCCATGGTGAGGTGTCCTGAGACAACTGATCTGCCTCCAGATACTGACACTAGAAAAAGATTGTTTGGTTTTTATTTTCCTCAACACAAACAGGACTGGGGAGGGAGATGATGAGGCAAAGAAACGCACATACCTTTCAACTGATCAGCAACAACACTCTGGCCAAGGCGTTCAGTAACTTTCCCATCTTCCATTTCGTACCGATCATCTAAGTATTTTGCTGTGGCCTCAGAAATGTGAACCTTGCCCGCCACTCCCAGCTGCTCCATGAGATTGGCCAAGTTCACATCATTGGACCACACATCGAATTTGAACCTCCTCATGCCCAAGATGCCACAGAGGACGGTCCCCGTGTGAACCCCGACACGCATATTCACCATCTCTTTCTTCTCCTGGCAGAACTGCTCAATAGCTCTGATCATGCCCAAGCCCATCTCAATGCAGCAGTAAGCATGGTCAGCCCGGGGCTCTGGACACCCCGCCACACAATAGTAGCAGTCTCCCAGGGTACTGATTTTCTCACACTTGGTCTCTTCACACAGCCGGTCGAAGCGACCAAACAGATCATTGAGGAGACCCACCAACGCGTGAGCAGATTTATTGGCACTCATCTTGGTGAAGCCCACGATATCTGCAAATAAAATACTGACTTCTTCGATCTGCTGCATTTTGAAAGGGCGGAATGCTATAGGGGCTTTCTGTATGGAAGACTTTTTCTTCCTGTTCTTGGGGCTCGAGGTGGCATGTCTTTTGACCGAATTCTCACTCTCCTCATCCCCCTGTTTCATCAGGTCATCAGCTATGATTCTTGGCATCACAGAATGAATCATCCTCTCTTTCAGGGCTTTTTCCACTTCCAGATCCTTTCCGTGCATAATTGACTGTCCCACCTTGAGAAAGGTGCTCCTAGATCTCACCTGGGACATGATAAATAGGTGGATCCCAATGGCGTGGATGCAGACATGGAGCAGGGCTCGGTTCAGCAGCTCCCAGGGTGGCGCCCCTGCTCCAGGTGGGGGAAAGCAGTCTTTGTCTCGGAAATGATAGCCAAAGGTCTCAAAGAGAACAGAATAGGCCACTCCCAGAAACAAGCTCAAGTACAAAGGTAAGTGCATGACAGTGTAGAGCAAAAAGAGCACTTCGATGCACATGGAAAAGCTCCCCACTTGAGATAAGCAAGTGTCTGTGGGCTTGGCTGCCAGGGTATGATTGGAGCTGTCAAGACGTCCTGAGAGAGGCGTCAAAACCTGAAACTGGGCGGCCAGGGTCAGGGCGAACACCAGGAGGGTGAGAACCAGAGAGGTCCACACGTAATGACGGGCATACAGCTTAGTGAAGGTAAACAGAAAAAAGCCCACACACACTACGAGGATGCACAGAGCTGGGGCTACCATGACAATCAGTCTGGACCGCATGTGGACCCCAAAATAGATGCTCCACAGAAGGCAGGCGAAGCCGATGTAGAAAAGCGCATACCGGAAGCGGCGCTGGGTCTGCGGAAAGCAGCGCTCCATGCAAGCCTCCTCCAGGTTCACCGAGTCGAACTTGGGGTCCCACCACCGGCTGGAGGCCCTCTCGAACAGCTGGGGCAGCTTCTTCTGCCTGCGCAGGCGGCCTCCAACGCCCACTCTCCGGGGGACGCCCCCTGAGTCCCCAGAGCTGCTGCAGCTGGAGGAGATGCTGTACTTGCAGTGCTTGGGGTGGCTGTTGGAGGACAGCTGCTTGGGGTTGATTTTGACCCTCACGCTGTTGCTGTCTCCGCTGGAGTCACAACTCACCTCGGTGCTGTGGTGCTGCAGCAGCTGCTGGTGGGGCGGGGAAGCCATGTTGCCAAGCGCTCAGAACCTTCCTGGCCGGGGTCACTGGTACCTATCGGCGAAGACAACCAGAGTTACACTGGCACTGATTCCTACACAGGTACACACACCTGAAGGCCACGAGCTCCACCGGTTTGCTCGGCGGTGGCCCCAGCGGTCTACTTGGAGAGGCACCATATGCTCCCGAAAGCTGCGGCTAACGTCTAACCGGGACTTCCACCGTCCCGCCCCGAGGCCACCCGCAGCAATCGGGACGGACCCGGCAGCCCCGGGCCGGCGAGGCGGCGGCGCCCCTCGGTCCCCCGCGCCGCCCGCCCCGCGCACTCGCCTGCTCCGGCCGCCGCGGCCGTGGAGGCAAGTCCAGCCGAGCCCTCTCACGCCGCCAGCCGCTCTCGCCGGCACAGCTCTCCCGCCGGCGGCGGCTGGCCCCTCATACCGCGCCGAGCGGCGCCTCCCCTGCGTCAAAGGCCGGCGGCCCCGCGGGAGGCTGCGGACCGGCTATGAGGGGCGGCAGCGAGGCCCCGGCGCCGGCGCAAGTCTGAGGAGCCCGCGGCGCTGCGGCCACCCCCGTCGGCGCGGCCCGTCTAGCGGGGCCTGCTCCCGGCCTCCGGGGCCGACCCAGCGGGGCGGGGATGCCCAGCGCCCCGGGAGACGCCGGGCGCCGAGCTCAGGGCGCGGCGGGCGCTAGCCCCTCAGCCGGCCGCCCTGCGCGGCGCTGCCGCAGAGCCCGCTCCCGCGACGCCGACCCGGGACGCCCGCCCGCCCACGCCCGGGGCGGCCTCCCGAGCTAGCGACGCCGCCGCGGCCGCGGCCGCCGCCGTGCCTCCCGCTGCCGCTGCCTCATGTCGGAAGAGCCGCCGCCGCCGCCGCCACCATCTCCGGCCCCCTCCCCCTCCCCCTCCCGCTGTCACTGACAGACTCGCCCGCGCTGCCCCTCGCCCCGCCGCAGCGCGCACGCGCCGCCCGCGCACGCCGCCGCCAGACCCCGGGCGCGCGCACGGTGCGCGCGCCGGGCTGGCGCGGCTGCAGGGTGGGGGCGGGGCGGGCTAGCTGTGGCTCCGCCCTCAGTCCTCAGCCAGCCGCCCCCGGCGGCGCGGTACCCCGACCGCCACCGCAGGCGCTGCGGAGCTGCGGGACGTGCGGGGGCTGCGGGGCTGCGGGGACTGCGGAGGTGACGGGGTTCTGCGAGACCCATTTTCCTCCCGCCTCGGGCCCCCAAACCCGCTCGAGGAAAACCAGTGGCAACTACTAGTTAAGGAGCACCGTGGGTGCGACGTTTAGGAGACGAAAATGTTTGCCTGTCAGCACACCTTTTTTTAATACATGCAAGTTTGCAACTATTGCATTTGCCGAAAGGGAGGCACCGATTCCTCTCTAAGCAATGAGCACAGGCCCCGGGGGCACAAGCCCTTCCCTGAGCGTGCTCTCCGCAACCACCGCAGTCGGAGCCCCAGCCTCTGGTGCCTCGGCCCCCACAGGCCTGCTCTTCCAGCCCCAGAGACTTGCCTTTCCTGTGCCTGGGCCATCTGCTACAACTGCTTTTACCTTCCCACAAATGAAACTTTCACAGGAGTCTGCTATCCATAGGGCAGTCCCACGGGGGCCTCCCTGAGTGTTGTCTGCAATGTGTCATACAGTCTCCATACATACTCCCCCACTCCCCCGTGCACCAATCCTGGCCCTTCCCCGCACACTTAGTACCTCCTGCCAGTCACAAGGGTCTCCTTCCTCCTCCCCTCACTTTCCAGGCCCAGCCCTAGGGCCCACGCCACGTTTCACAGTTGATTTAGAAAATAAAAATGTCGCCTGTCCACACAATGGAATATTATTCAGCCATAAAAAGGAATGAAGTACTAATCCATGAAGGAACGGGGATGAAACTTGAAAACATGATACTAAGTGAAAAAGAGCCAGTCAGGAAAGATCACATATTGTATGATTTCATTTCCATGAAACGTCCAGAATAGGCAAATCCATAGACAGAAAGCAGACAGGTGATTGTCAGGGGCTGGGGGCGCTGGGAATGGGGACTGCAGCTGTTGGCAAGGCGTTGCTTTTGGGGGTGATGGAACTAGATGGACATGGTGGGTGCACAACACTGTGAATGTACTAAATGCCACTGAATTGTACACTTTAAAATAGTTTAAAGTGGTAAGTTGTACGTTATGTGTATTTTACTGTGATAAAGATAAAAGAAAAACAAAAGTAACACAACATCATGACTGGTATTCCTGCCAAAAGTACATAACCTTGATCTAATCACCAGAAAACATCAGGCGAACCCAAATTGAGAAATATCTCTTCCAAGTAATTGGCCAGTCCTCGTCAAAAGTGTCAAGGTCATGAAAGACAAAAAGCTGTCAAAAATTGGACTAAACGGAACATGGGATCCTGGTATGGAAACTGGGACAGGAAAGAGCATTTGGGGGAATTCGAAGAGGTCTGCACTTTAGTGAATGACATTGCCTCTTGCCGGTGTAAATTTCCTGGATTCATCAATGCACTATGATTACAGACAATGTTAACATTAGGGGAAGCCTGCTGTAGAGTGAAGGAGAACGCTCTAGTATTTTTGCAACTTTAAGTCTAAAGTTGTTTCCAAACAAAAAGTCAGAAAAAGTTATAAATAAAACCTTTACTGATCATCAACTATGTGCCCAACAACTGATGTATTCTGTTTTTTCAAGATAAAAACAGAGATGCGGTGGAGTACATTGCACAAGCCAGTAAGAGATAATAATAGTAAACTTACGCTGACTGAACGTGTCGTAACTGCCAGAAACCACTGGACGCTTTCACTTGTGACCTATTTGGTCCTTACCGCAACCCTCTGAGGTACATGTGATTGTCCCTATTTTAGAGATGTGAAACTGGGGACTGACAAGCGATGTGTCCCGAGTCACAGAAAGTCTAGGAACTGAGGTCAGATTCAAAACCAGGTCTGACCCCATAGGCCATAGGTGCCCTGATAAGCCTTGGCACCACCCTCTCTAAGACTCATGGTGCCCCTCACATACCCCAGCATCTCACATGCCAACCCACCGCCTGGGACCTGAAGCCCTTGGAGAAGGTGCTGACAATTTACATCCCCCCCAAAATTTAATGCAACCCTTCACTCCCCACTTGCTGGTTTCCTTCAGTAATCGGAAAGATCTGTCTGTGCTTTTCCTCTCCTCCTGTAATCATTTCAGTCCACTCACCGCTTGTGGTGACTTTGGCGTTTGTAAATTAATTAGTTATGTCAGATTTTTAGACATGAGCATGATTTTAGATCATGCCGACCTCCTCCTTCTCTCCCGTATGTCTCCTGGAAGCAGTTGGACAACATTCCCTGTTGATGAAGCCTGTAACCTGCCAAAGCCTCCTCAATTTCCAGGTTAGGGTGTAAGTCATTCCATAAACCCTTGGGATTGGGGATAATGTGCCCGGCGCTGTGCATTTAGCCCTGGGTGTCCAATGATGCACCATCTGTGTCTTCAAGGGGCTTCTAGCTGGGAAATATACTGGGGAAGGTGATGGGTTAAGAAAATGGAATCATCCTACGTGAGGAAGAATGCTACAAAAAAAGGTTAACTGCGTTCTCCTAATGCCAAGACCTGGAGGGGCATCGCTGGTAAGCCCTGGGTCCCTTCTCCTTGATTCCCAGAAAGCATACTGCTGCCTAATACTCAGCAGATACGGGACAGATGCAACTGCTTTCTCCAACCATCCAACCACATTGCCTCCAGGTCTGTAAGGTTTTCTCTCCATCTGTGATGTGCACAGAACTTCCACCCCAACACAGCGTGCATCAGATAGTGTCCACACAAACTTTACCAAAGTTCTGCAGGTGTTGCCAGCTTCATCATATCACCCTCACCCTCCCTCACATGCGCGTTCACCTGACCTGGGAGGGCCTTGGCTCCAAACTATTAGAAGTCGCACAGGGTAATAACATGACTGGCTTCAAGATAAAAAACACATGGATGGAGCTTTGGCCATTCTCATCACGTTGGTCCTTGAGGTCTCAGCAGTGCCTACGTTATTTCTGGTGGTCGGGTGGGCAATCATCTTGGAGAACCACCCACTGGAAGGGGGATTCCCTGCTCTCATCCAATCAAGCTGCAGTTAACAAGCTTTGAGTCCTTCTTCTCTTGCCTGGTAAGGGTGACTTTGTAGGAATAGACCCACATGTTTTCCCCTCCATCAGTGGCTGGTCACGGGTCTCAGGCAGCTGCCTCCACACTGGCAGAGGATCAGGTACTGAGGCAAAGTAAAAGAAGGCTGATTAGGGAAGATCATCAAAATCCCTGGCAGGCTCCACAACAACCCAGGAGTCTTTGATCTAGCCAACTATATAAATTCCTGATCCTGCTGTGCCTGGTGCATAGCTCAATAATGCCTGTTGAATGAATGCATATGGGAATTATAAGAGACAAGATGTGTGTGAAATAGTTAAGCTCTTGGTTGCTTTTAATAAGCAGAATAAGTAATACTCAATGTAATGCTTATGAGTTTATAGCTCTTTCCACCTACATATATAGTAGAGGTTCTGGCTTGAACCTAAAGCTAAAATATGTGATGGGCATATTTATGACCCCAGGGGGGCCAGGGAGGACCAGTCCAGGGGCATATCACATTTTGAAGTAAGGAGGAGCTGGTTGGTTGACCCAGCAAGTTTGACTGAGACAGAGGGTGAAGATTCTGAGTAAAGCATGGTGACTGTCCCTCAGATTTGCAACCTGGCCGAGCTCTTGCTGGGCTGTTACTCCCATCCCATTCCCTAATTGGGAATCTATAATAGGGTCTTAGCAGATGTAATTACTGAAGATGAGGTCATTTTGGATTCAGATGGGCCCTAAATCCAGTGACTGATGTCTTTCAAGACAACGGGGGACACGGAGACACACAGGGAGGAGAAGGCGATGGGGGCAGAGATTGGAGTGATGTGTCCACAAGCCAGAGAACGCCAAGTGTTGCCAGGAGAAGCTGAAAGAGGCAGGGAAGACCCTCCCCCCAGTGCCTTCAGAGGGAGCACGGCCTTGCTGACACCTTCATTTCATTTCTGACCTCTGG